ATGAAATGGGTCTGAAGCTTCATAACAGGTTCTCTTACCCTCCTCTTCTCTCAGCCCGTTGCAGCGTGAGTTCAACTCTCCGTCATGCTTATATGCGCTCACTCTATTCGTAGACTCCAAGTCAAGGATCCCAATAATGAATGGAAGTGGGTCAAATATGTCCCAGGAGGCATCACCTGCAATGCAGCCGACACCTTGTCATTCTTAACGAAGGTGATGGCGGAGTGATTTCGATGTGAGATATATATTCATTACTGCCTCAATGTAGGGATATATCAGAAGTACCATTCATCGCGTCGTCCGTCCTCCTCCCGACCAAACGCATCTTGAACGTCTCGGGCTCTTCTATTTTGCAAGACCAGGTGATGATGTACCGATGGTTCCTGCTCCGAGTCCTGTTCTCTTCCGCGAAGGGTTGGTGACCGAAGACGAAACCAAAGTCAATGAAGACTCTGTCAGTGGATATGGTCTGTAATGGGTCCCCCAAGTTTTTAATGAATTACTCATGGTTTTCACCTCTAGAGTATGTCCGTGCGCGAGTGAAGAATGTCCATGACCGGACGAAGACTCGTATCGCTGAGAATAAACCGGATGCGGTCTTCCAGGTTAAGAACCTTGTGGTGCAAGACTATTATGTCTGAGGAGGTTCATTGCAAGGCTGTGTACTAATCTTGTCGCTCATTGGAATGGTGTCGCTTCAGAGCACGCAACCGGGATTTTGTACATTTTCTGAACTTCAAGCATATCAATATCCAGTACACCCTGAATTTCATACTACTGTATGTTCAACCCCAATTGCGAGATGGCGATTCCACGCGAGCCTTCTTCATGCTTCACCTTCCGAGTGCCCGGGCGCTGTACCGCTCATTCTCAAATTCTTGCCATGTGGCGCTACGTCATTACAAATTGTCCAATGCCTCAGAGAATTTCATGCCAGAGCCCTCTGAGAGATATTCTGACATTCTGCTCCTAACTTTACGCCACTGTGCAGCCCCAGAAAATGACCATGCAGCAAATTATGCACAAGGAAGACAAACTGCCAGGGATGTGGGGGCTACGGAAGGATACGGGAACGCGGCCACCCGTGATCGAGTGCGTTGCTACTACTCTCGACGTTTAGAGCAGATAATAATTGACAATTGACGTTTCATGTTATCAGGTGGTCTACCTCCTTTTCGGCGCGCTTTATTAGTGGGCGCTAATGCTATCGTTCTATATTTCCTTTCCCCAGAATGTGTTGGATCTGTCGTGTCTTCATACCGAACGCCCAGCCTGAGGAGCCGCGGCCGCCTCTTCCTCCATATCTTGCCTATGAGCTCGCTATGCTGCGACGGAAGAGGAACGCGCCGTGGAAGCATCATCTCATCGACCGGAATTTGTGGGAGAAGGGATTTCCTTCCCAACGTAGGCAGTGGCTCGTTGCTCTCAGTCACATCCAGAGAATAATCAAAACACGATAACCGTCGCTCGCCTCACATTGCGCCGCGTAACCTTAAACATCCTCCTTCCCAAAAGAATCTGATCATACCCTTCCAGATATTTGGCTTTCTGGGGAGCGGCGCTGGAAGTGGTCTGTATTCCGTCACAACTTCGTCCTCCATATTTTGCAGTTCCATTTCCTTTATCCACTTGGCCAGTCTATCCCAGCTCGTGTATCTGTTATGACCCCAGAAACGCTCCTCAGGCGTCTTTGGTGGTGGACGGATGTTGGCGGCGTCGAACCCTAGTTCAGGGACTCCCGGGTCGATATCCGTCTCAAAGGTCTTCGACTAACACGGAGTGATGCCTTCATGAAAAAAGTCACTCCTTTTTGCTCAAAGGAAGGGCCCATGTCTCCTCGATAATGAAAGCAATGATTTCGGATGGAAAGTAAGGAAAACAGCCAATATCCGAGAGTGGCTTCGATGAACTCATGGCGGTTTCGGTTAGGGATATTCCGATTCGAGGTGTAGGTTTATATTGGTCCGGTATCCGCGTACATGGTGAAATTTACTGCTCTAACTTCTCCCATGATTGCATGTTCATTTCCATTCACTGCCGTCCTTTCTCACCAGTGAAATGGCAGCCTTCTGGTCTGATGCCAGAAATGTGTCAATACATGATGGACACGCTAAAAATCAGATGCTGCAAGAGCTCTTGAACTTGATGGAACAGCCACTTCCAGTGATAAACTGATGCTGTATCAAGTTTATACAGTCATATCAGAGTTCACTATATGTGCTTGTTGATTAAGAGCTTCAAAGCCTGTAGACAGTCAGCTCAAGATAAAGTGGTAAGAATAAACTTTAGCTCAAAGCTGGAGATATACAGCAAGAGCTATCCTACTTATATACTGTTCATTAATAGAGATAAATATACTACTACTAATTGTGTCTGTCCAAGTCATTGTGCTCTTTGTTCTTAAGTATTATAACTACCTATAAAAGAGTTGTTATCTATCATTGAGAGGCATTGCTGCATTGGAGAACAATGATGAATTCATCATTGTGATAACTAAGCCTGTTCCACAGTCCTAAGTGCTGAGCTAGGTGCTCTGACTAAGCAGAAATAGGAGTCAAGTAAGAATGAAAGTGAAAAAATCATAACAAAGAGAAACTTGATATCCTTGACATAAGAGCTTGGAATAAGACTATTGAGATATTATGGATAAAAAAACTCCTCTCTGAGAAAAAACCAATCTGGATGTACTTTATGCATTATATTATAGCTTAAAAAGGATCTAAAACAGAGAAAAACATAAGTGAGGAAATCAAGATAAACATCTTCCTGCAGTTCTTCAATACTAAGAAATCAGAGCTATCCTCAACTTACAATAGATCCTGAACATTGCAAAAGAAACTGGACTATATGCTGAGGAGATCACCTTTTCTAGAGAGATCCTTTGCAGTCATCTGATCTGGTATCATTCCAAAGCAAATCCAAAAATTCATCTGCTCACAAGATCAGCAGCAAGTGTATATATTAGAAAAAATCACAAGCTATAAAAAGTGAGAGAAGCCAAAGAGCTCTTTCTTTTTCTTGACAACTTTAATCATAGTAATGTAAGCCAAGATCCAAGATGCATATGCCACATATGTGAAGCCATGTTAGAAAATTTAGGCTGTCAGAAACTAGATGATTGCTTACTCTATGATAAAGAACTTCTAGACACCCTCTTAAGAAAATGAGACCCTTACTTTATGCTTCCAGAGAACTGCAAAGAAGATCCTGCTTAATTAGATGAGAGATATGAATTTGACTGGTGAGTGACAGTCAATAGGCCAATCACAAATACCTTTTATATTTTTATGAAAGGCAAAATCTGTAATGAACTGCCAGATTTAAAAATCAGTGTGAACTCCACAATGTGATCCTAGCAGCTACAGATAGCTCCTGCCTCAAAAACAGAATAGCAGAGGTGAGGGCAGGCACAGAAATCTTTGTGAAAGGAGAAACCAACCTTGAATTAGCAATAAGAGTTTCACTAAATCTTCAACAGTCCAACCAAGTTGGCAAGGCAGTGGCAATAAAAGTCCTAGCAGAAAGCATTGACATCAGAGTCATGCTCCATGACACTAACTCAAAATACATCTCAAAGCATCTCACAACTTCCAGACAAGGAACAGAAGACACAAGATACATCAGTGTTTCTAACAAAGAGATTCTTTAAGCTATAATAGTGAGCTATTAAGAAAGAAAACAGATATCAACTCTGAATTAGATAAAAGAGCACAGTGATTATCAGAAAATGAGAGAGCGGACCATCTGGTTGAGAAAGATGCATGAAAAAAACTAACAGAATTTATAAAAATAGAGATTCCACTCACTCTTTGTATAACAGGTGTTGCACTTCTCAAGCTATTCCAAATTCTGGCATATAAAGCCTTCAGAGAATACTCCAACCACAACCTTCCTTATTAATAAACAACTAACTCAGTTTCCACTTGAATATGTGTAGAAGACTGAAGTACATTGAAGGAAAAAAAATCTTTATATACTAGTGATCATGCTACTGAATGTATCTAAGAATAACTATTATCTGAATAACCCAATAGAGGATGTTGACTGGTGCTCTTGACACACTCTCTGAAGTCAATGTCCATGAAGTTATAATCCAGTGAACCTCATACAGTGAAGGAGATCTGTTGTGTGGAGCTTGAAAATAGTTTTAGTAAAGACATCTACAAGATTATCTTCAGATGAGATGTATTTGATATCAATTTTATGAGGTTGTACTGCCTCTCATATCTAATGATAGTCCAGGGTAAAATATTTTGATTTGCTATATCCTTTTGTTGATTTGGTGAGATCTATAGTACTGTTATTGTTGCACCATAGTGGGTAAGGCCAGTCCTTTATTATCTCTAACTCATCCAGGAAGTATCCTATCCACACAGACTGTTGTCCACTATAAACTGTAGTGATATATTCTGTCTCTGTTGTTGACAATGCAACACTTTTCTGAGCTCTGCTACTCTATGAAACTGGACCTCTGGCCATTTTGAAGACATATCTCATAGTAGACTTTTCAGTAGTTCTGTCATCCCTATGAGATGAGTTGATGTAGCCAACTGGAGTAAGGCTATCATCAGAGTTGGATTCTTTCTGGTACATGATCTTGTATGAAATCATTCTCTTTAAATATGCTAAGACATGCATGACTCTACTCCAATGGATTGGTCTAGAGTCCAAAGCAAAAACATTAGAGATAATTTATAGCAAATGCAATGTCTGAATATGTATTATTCACAATGTGGTTCAGGGATTCCAATATGGCTTTATAGTCTTTGTCTTCTATAAACTGTTTGTCAGACTCAAGAATTGGTCTTGGTTGTGTATCCAATGCTGTCAGTGTTCCAATCAGTAATGGAGTAGCTTTGGGCTTGCAATCAAGCATACTGAAACATTCTAATATCTTCATAATAAGATTCTTTTGGTGCAATGAAATAGATCTATTTGAGTCATCAAATTCAATAGTCATCTCAAGCATACTGTTGTGCTTCTCTAGATCCTTCATATTATACATCTCACCTATCTCCTTCCTCATCAGTTCATCCTCAGCCTTAGATGAAGATGCATCAGATACATCATCAGTGTATGTGCAGGTAATCATTTATTCTCCCTCTTATTTCAAGAGTCTAACATATGAATCTGCTTATGACTGAATATAGCCAAGTGCTATAAGAGATTTGTTTAACTTGTTGAACCATGCATTACTGGCATTCATTGTTCTGTATATTACATGGTGCATTTTAAGAATGTAATCATCTGGTGATAAGTCCCTAGTTATAATCTCTTCATACTCTTGTGATAGATTCATATAGTTTTCACTCTAAGGTTTAGCACTTTAGCATTTAGGTATGTGCCTATGAAATCTATGAGCCAGAAATCCAATCCTTGTGCAGCAACAATAGTGAAGAACATTTGGAGTGATTCATATCAAATGATGGCTGCAAATAATTTGAAGTAGTGAAGATCTTTGATCACATAGCATAGGCTGCTTTAAACATGAATGAACTCTACTGATTGGCACTTTTCAGACTACACTTCTTCAGAGACCTTTCCAGAGTGCCTAGCTGAAGGCAATAGGTTTTTAATCTTTATCATATAGTTGCAAGCTTCTGCCCACTATCCATATGTCATCTTTGCTTCAATTAGCATCACTCTAATAGTTCTAAAAATAACACCAAATGCTCATTCCATCACTCTATTCACAGCTGATGAATATGGAGCTGTGAATAATAGGATTACTCTATGATTTTCAGCCTAATCACACCAAAGTTTGCAATCAAACTCATTGTCACAATGGATTTTCTTCAACTTCTTTCCTATCTGTCTTTCTGCCATTACTGTGAATGAATCAAGGGCTGACAGTATGATTACAGTATTTCTATCAGATATGAAGTATGGTTGTTGGCATGACAATGCATCATCTGTAAATTCTATGGTATAATAGACACCACTAATTGATTTAACTCTTATAGAGCTCCATATACCCAAAGCAACTAATGCAAGTAACTCTGTCTCTGGCATTATCACAGCATCAAAAGGCCTTCATTTTTGGTTTTCAAGAATGCAGGATTCACACTTCTTAGGTGTTATATGCATGCTGCCAGCCTCCATGTCACTTCAACTAATCATGGATTCAATCACCAAAACTCACTGGACTCTGCCCATTTCCTATTATCTATTAATTTCATTTTCATCATTATCATTTTGCATCCATATTTCATATTGTAATATCTAGATCCCAAACTCAGTAGTGAATATTGACATCAGAACCCAATAGAACCTGACTCAGAATTAGCTACTATTAATATATAAAGCCATGTAGAATCATTGTAACTACTTAGTTCAAATATCAACTTGGATAGCTATCTACACTTTATACTCACTTTAACTTCTTCTTTCTCATCTGTCAGATTCCACTCCAAAGGATACTTCTGTTCACTTCTCTAATGGAACTCTGTTCCATCCATCCAAATTCTTGGGCCCTGACTCAAGGGTGATGTTGCTAATAGCTTCATTGATACTCATGCACTCTGCCAGTCTCTGCACATGCACTCAAACCCACTTGATTGGCACATTCCTAACAGTATATTCAAACTCAAACTCTTGAGTCAAAAATTTTTATCATGTCCACTATATTTACCCAATCTACAGAAGCCAACTCTGAACAAACTCAGCCTACTCATCACAACATATTTTCTATGGAAGACATCCTGGCCTTCACCTCAAAGGAACAACTAGGTCTTTTTAGATCAGCCTCCAGTGGAGAACAACCTTTCCATAGGGAAACTTACAATCACTCTAGCTTCACTGTCTGCCAACCTAATTATGATGATTTCTCTAACTCTTTTAATGCCATCAGCATCCCAACCAATGGAGCCCAATGGGCCAGCCTGATGTACAGTGTCTAAATTGACCCTCTAGATCTCTTATCTCTGAGCAACATGCATGGGAATTCAGACAGCCCAGACTCTGAGGGCAGAGGTGAAGACACCTCTACTCATACTCTCATCTGATGGGAATCAGGTGGTAACTCATCAAACTCTTTTCCAGGAGGGCCAAGTGGTCTAAGAGGTTCAGGTGATCCCAATGGCTCAGGCAGCTCTAACAGCCCCACAGGAAGCAATAATCTAAACCAGCAGGACATGTTCCTAGAATTCATGAACCTGTTATGAGGAGTCTCTACTTCTCTCAATAATCTTAAACCAGCCACTATTCACACCAAAATCAAGGAACTGAAACTATTTAACAGCTCTGACCCTTGCAAACTGAAGGCCTTCATTGTTTCCCTCCAGTTGAACTTCAATGACAGACCTACTGCATCTGCAATAGATACTAGTAAGATCAACCATGCCATTTCCTTTCTTACTAACACCACACTTAACTGGTTCCAATCAGACATTCTTAACCCTAATCTGTGGAACCCACCAGTCTGGCAATTCTTCTACATAGCTTTCTTGGATGAGCTTTGTAGCAACTTTGGCCCCTTCAATGCTATCAGAGATGCTGAAGATGCATTAGAACATCTTTGGATGCATGATGGAGAGTGAATCATGAAGTACATAGTTCAATTCAATCAGTATGCCTTATAAATCAGATATAGAGACAACTCTCTCTGCTATGCCTTCTACTATGGCCTCTGTACTCACATCAAGGATGATATGGCTCACCATGGGAAGCCTGGCAACCTCTATGACATGCATCTCTTTGCCCAAGAACTCAATACTTGTTACTGGACTCAGAAGACCAAAACTGCCCACAAAAACTAGAACAATAAGATCTCTAACCAATCCTTCAATCTCAAATCCAAGAGATCCAATTTCTCAGACTCCAGCTCCACACCAAAATCCACCACTACTAGGCCCTATGCTGACAAGCTAGGCAAAGATGGCCATCTGACTCAGAAAGAAAAAGACCACTGGTATCAGAACAACCTCTGCATATTCTGTAGAGCCAAACACAAGACTGAGAATTGCAACAAATAAAAGGCTGCAGCAACCACCAAGGGTCATGCAGCTGAAATATACACTGCTCCTGTAGAGCTGGCTCTAATAGAGTTGGAAAACTAAGAAGCAACTCTGTTTCTGTTATGATTTTCTCATCTTTTACTTCTTTTCTTGGAGTATTAACTCTTATTTATGCTTAGTCAGAGTGTCTATGCCAGCATCTAAAAACTGTGGGACAACATTAGGACTGTGGGGACATTTCAATCAGCACAGCTCTCCATGATCTGAAACATAAAGCAATGTCCCACAAGACAATTGGCCTATTGTGGGTAATCACAATGCCTTAAGACAATGGGCACTATAACACAGACATTTACAATTAGCAGTACTATATTTATCAGAAGGATGAATAATATATAAGTAGCATAGCTAGTGATGAGTATCCCTAGTCTCAAACTATCCTTTATTCTACTGCTTCACCTCAAGCCAACTACTTGCATTGACCTTGGAATATAATATCTATCAACACATCAAGTGGACTTAAGCATAATTGTACAAACACAATACAGTGCTTATTTACCATGTGTTATAGAGCACATGTCACTTGGGCCTAACAATTAGTTTGAGACTTCTATTTCCCTTTCTTTATGCCTATTATAAGCAAGAGAAACTGAATGCCTGCTATTAACATCACAACTACTGATCTCACTGATGAATTCTTTAAGCTTTTAGCTTCAATTATAGGAACTCTCTTAGGCTTATTAGCCATCATCACACTTTGCCATAGATGTCAATCAGTCACAGCTTGGGTAGTAAGGCACTACCAATCTTTTGTACAGATCCAACAGATTCTCAGAAATATCACCTCTGACCTCTCTCTCCATAACATTCCTCCCTCTGTCAGAGCCTCCTTTCAGCCCAGAGCTGAAACCATACCTGAAGCTGAGCCTAGTCACCTAGATGAAAGAGGTCTTCAAAAAGAAGAAGGATCCTGACAATCAACCTACCCCCTTTGAGTAGCTCACTGATATGATCAGCATTCAAATGCAGGATTCAGGAATCCATGAGTCCTGCCACATCCAATCTCCAACTATGAGGATGAGGATCTCCCTGACAACTTTTTGAAGAGTTGCTGTCCTCCAACCTTTCCACTGCTTCTCATGAACCCAGCATTGGAGATCATGCCTGAGACTCCATTTATGAGATTGCAAGACTTGTAGGAAGCAAGTCCAGGTATTACACCCCCCAAGAGAGTCTCAGTCTCTCAGTCTCCAGCCTCATCTCTTCAACTCCTGATGACCTCTATAATATAAGAATCCTGAATGAGTTGGCAGATGCAGAAGAGAGGAAGCTTGATCACCAGCAGTGAGCAGATAATGAAGTATATTATAATGCACAGTTCAAACAGTGAGCATGAGAGGAACAAGCAGTAGAGTGGAGACCTAATTCACCAGAATATTATGGGCTCTATGAGGATAGGGAAGGAGACCTCTATTATGAAGAGAAAGGAGGCCCAATCTCAGCAACAACTGCTGAGAAAGCCCAGCAAATTAGGGTTGCAGACTCACCCTCTGATTCAGAAAACAGCAGCGAGCCACAGGAGTGGTCTGAGTGGAGATTAGACAATGAGGATGACTCATAGTCCACAGACTAGTGGACCAATGCTGAAGTATACACCAAAAACCTCAACAACGACTATGAGCTCTCACCCTCAACCTATAAAGAAAGCACTGGAAGCAGTGGCTCTCTTCTCTCAGATGCTAGCTCTATACTTAGCAGGTATGAGATCTAGATTCCTCCAGGAACCAGAGTTAGTAACTGAGTCCTCTGACAATTTTTACATAGATATATTGCTGCCCTCTTTCTCAATGAGCACTTCTATGATGACTTCTGCCAATATAGTGAGAGAGTGGTGAGAGTGAGAGAGTGGTGAAGAAACAATAAAGCTGGAGGGGCTGAGCCTTTCCAACCTAACCAGCAGCCTCCTACTTGAACCAGTGAAAGGCAGTCTGAGAACCATTTAAGCCCTCAGAATGACCATCTATGACCAGTCCAACATCTTTCTCAAGAAAGAGGAACTAAGAGACAGAGACAGCAGGGAGGACAGCAAGGATGAGAAGAATGACATCTCTCTCAAGATTGATTCATGGCTGGAGTATAGACTAATGGATGAGAAGGAACTGGAGAGAACAATACAGGAGATACAGATGGAGAAATTTGAGGTGCTGTACCAGGAAGAGGCAGTGACTCTATGGGAAGAGGTTAGCTGGCTGATGACTCCTCTGAGAAGGAGGTATTCAGTTGCTAATAATAATGAAAGAAGATATATTTTATAATATGCTGCTATTGACTATGCTATTTATATTTATAATAGTATGCATCTAGAAAATCAACTAAAGGCCCTACCAGCCTTTTACTACAAGATGCAACTGATGCCAAACACTCTATCAGTACTTTTGCAATGAGCCATATATACAGCACCAT